CAATACTGCAATGTGTGTAATATATTAGCATATTCATTTTTTACAGCATTCTAAATTTCTTTGATATAGTTACTTGTTATCCTTATTTCAGATATGGATAAGGACATGGTACATGATCATTGTTACGCAAAGTTCGAAGGAATGTGGTCGTCAATTTCAGCAGAAGCAGAAGAATAAAACAGAAGAAACGGTCGAAATTGTTGTCGTAAAGATCATAATTGCTGTATTTGTTCATTTGAACATGATTTAAGTTACTTTAAGTCAATTGTTGATGTCCCAAAATTCACCACACAAACTTTATGTGACTAGTCGTCTATGGGAATTAAGGTTAACAATGGCAAATCTTGGTTATATTTCAAGGAAATGTACGTCAGAGATGCAACGGTAGCTAGGCCTTGATAAACATAAGGCCTAAGGTACTAGCAGCATGGCCAATGTGACAAATGAAATTATGGCACTATAAATCGACAGGAAATTTTACTGATATTGAAATATTAAATGTGTTTGTAATTTATATTTTAAATATATTAGCCTCAACCCTAATATATACTGTTTAATCATTGTAAATTATGACAGTGCTGTTGTGTACATCACATTGAGTGAGGTTAGAACTTTGAAATTGCTATTTATACAGGTACTTTATTTCACTTGCTGGTCATTAGTAAACTAACACTAAATAAAAAAATAAAGGAAAACATTTTTTGATTTAACTGTGACTTCTTTTATTATTTCTGGAGTATTTGATAATTATTTACCCAGCTACGAGGCTATAAGAATTTTAATTATTTTAAAAATGATTGTCGAAACTCATTTAAGTTGTCAATTGTATGCACTTTCATACAATACTTCAAACACACAATCTAGTATGGCAGTAGTTAAGCAAGACTTTTTTATATATGTTGTTTGGCAAACTTATTTTTTTGAGGATTTTCATAGGAGGGTGGAAAAAAGGTTTTATTTTTTTTCTTATTCAGCAAATCCAGGAGGAAAAAATAAAAAGGAAATTTGTTGTGGTGAATGTAACCAGTGTAATAATGGGATGGTTAAATGCTTAAATTTATACACAGTAGTTAGGAAGAAATATACATCTTATTTATGAAACGTGTAGGCCCTAAACAAATTTTTCACAAAAACGTGATGCAATGATAACAAAATGATAATTATTGTACATTTTTTGGTTAATATTTCAGCCGCTCCAAATTTCTTTCCTATTCTTTCTTCCTATACTTCTTCCAAATTATCGTTTAAATTTAATATGTTTATTCTAAATAGATATTTACACAATATTTCTATGTATATTAGTATAAATTTATATCATTACATATGTTAACTGTACTATAGAAATAGGTCTATGTATACGTTATGTCGGTATTTAACATGTTTCAATCTTTCGGCCTTTGCTGTACATGGGTGGAAAATATCTGATAGATCATTCTGGGCATGCGCATGGGCAGTTTTGAAGCAGCCTGTGATGATACGATCGTAGCTTTAATACGAAAGCAGTATTTCCCATGCCAAAGATAACGATAAAACTAACGCTAAAACGAAATTTATTCAGCGATTTTCTTATGTAAAACATATGTGTTATACTACACTATTAAATTATTACAATACGACCATTCTTTCACCAGCAATATATTGATTAAATAGAGAAATTAACAAAATCACAATCTGTAGATGACGATGTAAGGTCGAGCGTTCGGAAAAATTATAGTTTATACTATATAGGCCTAGGTAGTAAAAAATTGCTAAGGCTGCCGTTATAGTTGGAAGAACCCTAATAAATCTGCCAAAGAATGTTGTGGGATGTTGGTCTTTTTGGTTTTTCGGAAATTTTAGAAAAGATTATCATATTTTCAAGGCGTTGTAGGAGAGTGCTGTGTAGTATCTTTTGATTTTTTTCTAGCCTAGTAGTGAAAAACAAGCTTTGCTGAAAAATGGTCAGATACTCCATTATATTTATGGCTTTTTATATTTATCAAATTTTTCAAATACATATTTCAAGGATGTTAGGAATATACTTGATATAAAGATTACTATGACTATATCATAGGTAGTCCTTTTTTTTCATATGTTTTATTTTTTTCTTTACACTTTCATTTTTGCCTTGGCAATATTTGGTTTGACATTCATTTTGGCGTTTAGAGGCATATGTTTTAGATGCTTCATTATTCAAAATTCTGGTATTCTATACTGGAGCATAGTTGGATATTCTTGTAAAATCTTGTATTATGTATAAATTTTTACTAGGTGCTCCAACTAACGGTAAAACAGCATTAGCTGCAACACTAGCCATGAAATCAGAATTCCCGTTTGTGAAGATCTGCTCACCAGAAGACATGGTTGGCTTCTCTGAAAGTGCCAAGTGCCACACAATCAAAAAGGTAAATTGTACATTGAGTGGGATACTGTAGTATAGTAATACAGCAGGATGATATCCAGTGTGTTGTGACGGATGTGTAGGCATCCCCCTCCTCTCCAAATCTGGAATGGTCCACATTTTAAAGATAGAAAAGCTACTGAATATATCCCTTTGTTCTTTCCTCTAATGAATAATAAAGGAGAATCTTGCATCTCTACAACAAAAAATCAAAAAAAAAAAAAAAAAAAAAAAAAAAATCGCCATTTCGGCGAAAACCTAAAATCAAAAAAAGTTTTAAATACCGGTACTTGCTAAAATATATCGTCTTTTCATTTGAGCTCCATAGTAACTCCATGCAACGTTTATTTGTGTTGTATGAGCAGTCTGCTGCAAACGTCATTGCGTGCCTCGCAAGTTATTTTCTATTTGGTGATCTGTTTCTCGAGCGGATCACCTCTTGTTATTGTCAGGATCTTCTTATTGGTGATCCGCTACACTAGCGGATCACCTCTTGTTATTGTCAGGATCAACATCTTTTTTTTCTTATTCTTCTTTCTTTCTCCCATTTTCTGTTCGCACGATATCTCAAAAAAATGCCACGAGTTACGCACAATCGCGGTCAACGAACATTTGGCTTGGTCTGGAATAGACATGGTAAGCTTTTCAACGCGCTCAGTCATGCGTGACGTCATCTACGCGCAATTTTGCATTTTTACATTATCGATAATATCAGCCTAACCAATTGCCATTTCGAAATCGTATTAAGTGAGCATTAACTTTGGGTTAATGTTGAATGTACTGTACCCTAATTTGATGCGTGCGCTTTACTACGCGCGCGTATGCGTGCGTCAAAATTTTAAAATGCTCAATATCACTTTTTGACTAAATTAGAGCACGTCTTAGGCCATTTTGAGCATTTCAAATTTTTTTGAAATTTTCCACTACGCGCACACATTTTTATGTGCGCAGCACGTACGGAAGCTAGAAATTACGTTATTTTACATATTTTGGGTTCCTGACATTGTTTTCACAAATTTCCATTCTTTTTGGTCATCTTTTGGCCAATAGCAATACCGTACGTGCGCGTCAAACATAGGTATCTTTGTGCGTATTTGTGCCGCTATACAGTGAAATTATGCTAAAATCAGACCTATATTTAATCAGTTATAGCTCCTTAGGTTGAAAGGTGACCCCCAATTTTTATTACATATTCTGAAAGCACATGAGTTGTAAATATGATTTTAGAGATCATAATGGCTGATCGGACATTGTGACGTCATCATATTGGCGTCTGAATTCAAAGAAAGTGAATTATAGCTATGAAGTCATTTGTGAAAATACGCATTTGAGCGTATCTCGCTTATCCTTGATCAATCGTCTTCCAACTTTCAGTATGTTATAGCTGAGACAATTCTCTTTCATATATTTGACTTCTTTTTAGATTTTGATGACGTCATCATGGTCAAAAAAA